AACTAGGTGAAAAAAGGTAAGATACACTTTTAAAACTTGTTGAGAGCTAAAACTAGTCTTTGCTGCTGCCTCAAAGAGGAGCAGGGGGGAGAGGAAGGAGAGGAGGGAGAGGAGGGAGAGGCTGATTCAGGAGCCCGGACACACTCACACATATAAATGAAGCAAAAACAAATAGTTTCAATGTTTTTTCATATTGGACATGATATGTTATTGGTTATGGCCTTGTTCTTATGATTTTATGATTATTTGCGCTTACGTTTTTTACGGGCCCCCTGGAGGGTCGCGGGGGACGTGGTGCGCACTGGGCCCTTACGGGGCTGGAGAGCCCTCCCCACTATAGTCCATGCACACTCTGCACGGGGTCAGTGTCTGAGTGTAGGGGACATGGGGCACTTGCGCTCTTCCTGGGCTCCTTAGGGACTCGGGAGAGGCATGCCCATACGGGGTTGGGGGCTCTCTCCGCCTGCCTATGGGCGGAGGGGGGGAGCCCTCAGCACTGTTTTCCGAGCACACTTTTCCCAAGGTAAGCGTGTCAGAGTGTGCTCTGTCAGCCGCAGCCCAGACTTCTCCACGGTTACAACCGAGGTAGAGGTGAGTGAGGTGCAGTGGCTGCTAACCAGAAAGCCGGTCAGGGGCAGTGAGGTGGAACGGTGTTGTTGGACGACAGCGCGTGTATACATCGGGGCTCCGCCCACTGTACCCATAGAGTCCAGTAGAGGGGTTACGTATGGTAACCCTTGTTATATAAGCACAGGCGGAGCCCTCTACTCGGGGCACTGTCTGTCCTATGCCGCTGGCTGAAGAGAGGTGTAGGATGACGGTCAGGAGGCGAGGCCTCCTTTTATAAAGGTGAGATGCGCGCGCATTCAGGTAGGCCCGCCCCGGGGCCGGCTACATCTATAGAAGTCTCAGTAGGTGAATGCTTGCATGATAAGGTAGTACCCATAGAATCCAGTAGAGGGCTCCGCCTGTGCTTATATATACGTTACCATACGTAACCCCTCGTTAGTTGAGGACCAACACAAGTTATTTACACAGGTATTAAGGTGACAAACACAAATTCTCAAATTAAATGAATGTCCATACCTAAAATGGAGCGCAGGTGTCCCTCCAAAGTCTGCAGAACCACACCTTTGATTTCAATCACGGATTTACCCAGGAACTGCTCACAGGCTACAGCCAGTAAGTCCTGCTCCGTCATCACCTTCACCTGAAGAACGTTACAAACTCTCTGTGATGAGCTCATCAAAAGTTCTCAAATGTAAATGAGTCGTGACACAAGCATCCACACATAATTTAAATAAAGGAGTTTAACATTTAACCATCTTTATGTGACACAAAAAAGTAAACAATCTGACTAGACATCAGATTAAATCTTTCTGCACTTATTTGATATTCTTCCTTAAAGACACATTGATGTGAGTGTACACATATTGAGGTTTACACAGGCCTAGAGATAACAGTTGAAGTCAGGTGAAGCTTTGTGTGTGAGAGAGGACCCTGGTGTACCTGAGCTACCCCTGTGACAGTGATGGCCACCCCCTCTGCTGTCTCCACGTCCTCACAGCGAGGCTTCAGAGTCATGATCTCCAGGGTGATCCTGCAGAAAAACAAGGCACATGTACTGGGCCCTGAAGAGAGGGAGTGAGGGGAGCCAGGTGTGGAATACAATCTGTAGATGTTAAACACTGCTGATCAAGGACATTTGTCTTATCCACTCTAAGTCACTCAGGGGGCAGTTGATAAAAGCGTAAACCAAAAAGGTAATATAGCATATGTAAATAAACACACTTTGATTTAATGTTTAATTTAATTAACCACTACCACATGAATCCAAGTACTGGACATGAGCATTTTTCAAGAATTGAGGAATATTTCACAATTTGATCTGTGACATTTTGCTCAGCGCTTTGGAATATAAACTGCTGTGAATAAATGTTGATCTCTCAGCAGAGATCAACCAGCCGACAGTGACTGCTGTAAAAAATGAACTCCAGAAATGCCACTGTCTCCTGTGACACTGCACATACAGTATAGGTATGGGGCACATTTAGCATTCAAACACACTACTCTTCTTAGAAAAGTGTCAATGTGTAAGCTGACAGGAAACATTTTTACCAACATTAGAAACGACTACACTGTGTGAAATATCAGAGAAAACATGGTTAACCAGCTTTCATCCTTACTTGCTTACAGACTGCTAGCAGGCGACAAAAGTTCATTTCAATTGGGGTCTGTTTGTTTTATCAAGATGAGTTTGAACAGACAAATTAGTCAAATCCATGTATCTGTGATGAGTAGCATTTACTGTTACAAAATCATTTCAATTTGCTTCTAAAAAACAAACTCTATTGCGAGATAAATAGACCTTATGCTTGTATATTCCAACCTTTGGGTGTCCGAGATGAGCCACCACGCCCAGGCCCAGCCCCCCACAGCATAGGTCTTAGTGTCAGAGCCGCAGCAATCACCTGAGGGGGGGCAGTTGCATTAGGACAATACTTAATCTTCAGTAATTCAGTCATTAGGAACATGTGACATTAAACAAAGCACAGAAATGTTGAGCAGATTGAACATAAACTGAGCAATTCTCTGATTAATACATGTTCTTAACTTGAAAGCTTTTCAAACCCTCTGTCTGTCAAAGGCAGGTTGGGTTACTAAAAGCATTAAATACTAAATGAGCAGTGAGTAAAATGTCACTTAAAACAGGGAAACAAAATGTGTCTTTGTCTTTAAACAAATACGCAACTGGTGGTTGAAGTAATTAGTTCCTTTAGGTAAAAGTAAATATACCATAGTTTAAAAATACTCAATAATAAATATAATCCTCAATTTAGAATGTTAGTAAAGTAAGGATGTGTCAAGAGAATTGTGATTAAACAATAAAAAACCTTATTATACAGTATGGTTCCATCCAAAGTGTTATAGTTCTGGGTAGGATACTAGTATATTACTGCATCATATCAAATAAGCAACAGCTAGAAGTGCGGAGTTTTAGGGATCACAGCAGCAAAAATATTGGAAACACTGCAGTACAGCCTCTAGAAACTCTGAAATATTTTGTGTGACACTTCTACAGAGATGCCAATATCCATATGCATTAATCTTAAATGCGCTGTCCTTGTTGGACATCCTTGCAGTGAGTGTTTGTTTGCATTTAGTTAGGTTTCATTTTCAAAACATTATCCAATGATATATTTAAACGATACAGTGACACATTAAAATCATTGTATCTTTGTTAAACTAAGCCAAAACACCCTCAGATGAGGATATTGAAAATACAATAAAAAAAACACTCCTTAGGTTTTGTATCTTGAGCTTTTTTTTTCCTTTATTCCCTGAGCCCTCCACTAAATACACACATCTGACTTTACTTGGTATCGGCAGAGGTGAGAAAAGTACTGAGATCTTGTACTTTAGTTAAAGTAGAAGTACCAGAGTGTAGTACTAGTCACTTTGGATATTGTTACTGCGCAAGGAAAAGTACTTGAAGTGGTTGCCTGTTGTAATTACCTTGGTCTTGGCTTGATGATTGTCTCACTTTTAAACCTCAGGTCGATAATTTGCTTAAAAAGCTGAGGGTTAGGCAAGGTTTCTTTTTCAGAAACAAGTCCTGTTTCTCTTTTGAGGCCAGGAAAAGGCTCTGTGACCTTTTGACCTGTGCTGGACTATGGTGATTTGATCTATATGAATGCACCTGCCCATCACCTGATCAAGTTAGATGCCGCCTATCACAGTGCACTGACATTTGTTACAAACTGTAAAGCACTTACACATCAATGTACCCTGCATGCCAGGGCAGGTCTGCCTTCACTAACTGTACGGAGGCTCAGTCATTGGTACATGTTAATCTATAAAGCCATGTTAGGTAAACTCCCACCTTACATCTGCTCTCTGATCACACAGAGTTGCAGGTAGCTATTGCCTAAGATCACATGATGTGGTTTTGTTACATGTGCCGAGTGCAAGGACTGCCTTAGGTACGAAAGCTTTTATGTGCGCAGCCCCTCTTGCTTGGAACAGTCTCCAAAAATATTTGAAACTGAGCAAATTGGTTCCACTGCATGTTTTTAAAGCTCGGATAGGTGCAATGCTATTTGATACTTTTGGTACTTGTCAATGCTGATCGGTATGTAAATATGATGTATAATGTCCTTTATTGTTTTCTGTTGTTTTCTGTTTCATGTTGTACTTGCTGCAGGTCTCCCTTGAAAAAGAGATTGATGATCTCAATGGGACCACATGGTTAAAGGAAGGCTCCAGTCATTAGATAGTTAATAAAAACTTCAGTATTTAGTGAAACATTATGTTTAAACCATACCCTGAAGAAATCAGCGATATTCCCCGGTAAATAATGATTTTATAGCTCTTTTTTATCAAAACCTGTATATTCCGTCAGGCAGCTGTCATTTTGTCCATTTTCAGTAGTCACATGATCCGAAAAACTAGGTTGTGACGTCATCTATGCGTTCACTTTGTAAACACGACAGCTCATTTGACGAAAACAGGGCGGAGTATTTGAGTTCGGACTCGTCAGCCGAGGAAGAAGTTTTGAGCAATGTGGAGAGATTGGATGGGGGAATTCAGCCATACAGGTTCGAGCCAAGTGGCCAGAACCGTCAGGAATCCAGGGACAGTGACGATGAGGATAAACAGCACGGTGATCTTGCTGGAGACGATCCCTTTACTCGTGCAATTGATTTCGGGGGGCGAGTAGGGAGACCTGTACATGAATGGTGTACTTGCGATCGGTGTGTAGCCATGGACAATCCTCTTACAGTGTTTCCCCTAGGTTTACTGCCTTGGCAGGGTGCTGCTCGAAAACATTTTTCGGGGCACGCACATTTTTTGTATCCTCTGAGGAGCTGTGGATTATTGTTATTGATATCGTACAGTAACAAAGTATTTGTACATTAAAAAGTAATACAGTACAGTGTTACACTGTACTGTATTACTTGTATTCCCTTCTTATCATGTAGCCTACACTTCTTCGTTTCATTGATGCATTTAAATCACCTGACTACAGCATATAACATACCTGCTGCAACCCTGTGCTGCTGCTGCTGCTGCTGCTTCTCTCTGCCTCATCCTCTATTGCTGGAGGCAGCTCCACCTCATCTGATCTCTGATATGAAAGCAATCGTGTTATGATCATATTGAGCTATTGGTGTGAGTCTAACATTAAACAAGCAGTCTGCTTGTCATACATTGCTGACGATACATTTTTAGAGGCAATTTGTTGAGTCACTGCCGCTAAATGCCGGTAGCATCAAGCTAGCAAGTCCTGCATTAGCCT